CGAAAAATTTGATCAGAACTCGAACTTTTTAGGATTCGATCCGGAGTCCGGAACGGATTAAGTTCGAGAACCGAGGTACCACTGTATATGCAACGTTACACGACTTTCCCCTCAAAAGCTCTTCTATTCATTTTCTTTGTCATATTTCTCCAGACTTTCTTTGTTTTTTGCTACATCTCTGAGGGCATTTGATTTTGCAATCACAGACATGTTCAGTGGCTTCTGCTTCAATTTTTTAGAAGTGCACATAACTTGGTCTGAATATTTTTTTTCTTGATCTTAAGTTGGTCTATTTCACCCTGTACTGCCTTCCATTTCTGTCTGTTGTGTCTGCTCCTTCTTCTTCTTTTCTTCATTAAGGAATGCATGGTATCTCTGTCTTGCACAGGAAGCAGACTGTAGCAGTTCCTTGGTCATTGCTACATTAGCTACCTCACCCACATGATGTAGGTAATCTACTATTACCCACTGAGCAATCAGGGTTCTCTCCTTCATGTTTGTGACTGTGATGTTCTTATTACCAGATAATCCTCTTTCCAGAGGCCTGGCCATGGGACAGAAGGGGAACCTTTTGTACTAGTGCCCACAGATATTTCTTTGCCCAGTAATGCATGTAGAAAGGTGTCCAGTCTAGAGTAGGCACCAGTCAGCCACTGTATGGCATCCTCATTTGTTTTGCAGACCATAACAAAGTCCAACCTGTCCAGCACTGGAGATTATCTGTAGGCAATTGTTTTTCACAAATATCTGGTTTGTCTTTTATCGTCTGTGGATTTAGCCATGCCACATTTCTTACCAGTGTGTACTTTAGAGGAAATTTCTCCAGAAGCTTTGTCACAGCTGTGATGAGGAACTCTTTAGTTTCTTTCCTAATCAATAGGACATCTTGCTCAGAAACCTTCTTCCTTACCTTCATATCTGTAAGTAGTTTGTCTGCAACAAATCCTATGTTGGTAAGGGAGGCATCCTTGCAATTTGCTTGATCTGTAAAGTCTTCTGAGAATAGCTTCATGGGGGCATTCAGTCTCTCAAGTGTCGCATCTGTGACATCTCTGGAGAAGATGTTTCAGTGTGATGAAAAGATCATCAGCCAGGAAAGGCAGCATGGCCTTATCATGATACTTTATTAGGAAAAGCTGGCATTCCTGCACAATTGTTCAGTACAAAAGGGGGATTATAGGGCTCTCGAATATGTCCTCCTTGCCCTTCCTGAACCTCTCGCGCCTCCTGCCAACCCTCCTGCCCTTCCGCCCCTCCCGTGAAGCCACACAGCTGTAACAGATTTACTTGGGACAAAAGCAGAGATGAGAAATGAGGTGCAATATCAAAGGTTGTCAAGTGAATTTGGAGGCAATGTTGCTGTCTGGAAACATAAGACGAAAAAGGTCACCCTTCCCAGAGCAGATGTTGAAGGAGCCATGGTTCTCCATGACATTAAGCATCCAAAACATTTCCGCAGACAGATCCTCAGATCCAATCACAAAGGTCCTCACTGAGCTACTGGATGTAGCTGTGACTCTAAAAACAACAGCAACAACAAAAGTCATTAACAATCAATGACATAATACCTTCACATCCAACAAATATTTACCAGACACCAGAATAAATCAACAAGTTGAAATTGAGGCTGCAATTAACATTTATATTTATAGTTCACCAACATTTATTCTGTCAGTTATATACTCTAAATTGTTTTTCTAAATAGGTTGTTTTATTAAAAAATATTACTAAACAGTTGGTGATTACCTTTACATTGCCAACTAATCTAAGTTGACATTGCACAAGTAATTGTTGCAGCTTGCAACATACACTGAAGAAAAAAAAACTGGCTGATATTTACTTATAAAGAAAGCTCGATAATTTACACACAGAAATTCATTGTAATGTTTAAAAAGGAAATCCTTGAGTAAAGTTTACTTATTAGTATGTGTGGTGTACGGTCAGGCCAGAGGAGATAGACCCCGTGATGTGTCCAACTTTTTTAATGATCGAACCAGAAACAAGCAGGGTCAAAGGGAGAATCCGAAGTTGTGGTCATGGGGCAGGCAAGAGGTCAGTGTCCAGGAAGGTCAGCCCTACGTGGAGTGACGGGACAAGACGACGATGGGAAGAGGGACATGAAGCAGATAGAGGAGCAGGGCAGGACGGAGCAGGCAGGTAGGGCAGGCAGGAGAAGGCAGATGGATGGAACAGGCGAGACAGGCAAGGCAGACCGAACAGCAGGGCAGGACACAGCAGGCAGGGCAATCAGGGAAAACAATAGACAGAATTGCTCGGTATGGCACATTACAACAATGGCAACAATACTTCGAAATGAGCCTAGGACTTTGACAGCTTTATGACACAGACGATTGCCTGCCGGTGCTCAGTCCCGCCCTCGTGGGCATGACAGTATGAATTGTTAAGTCAACAAGACCCATGTAGATTTTACTACCAATTTTCTTTCTTAAAAACAAAATATACTACACCTTTGCAAGTAAATTTCACTCAAGATTACCTTTGCATTCAATTACAAAACTCTTGTAAAAATGTTGGGTATTTCAGGGTTATTTAACTAGTTTCTCTTTACTTAATTTCAGTACATTTTAAAGTAATATTTACACATTTACTCTTACTATAAGACGTACTATAATACAACATAATATGCAATAACAGATGTTTTTAGATAATCTTTATTTTTTCTGGTTCATGAAGTAGCTGTTTTATGTGCAACATATACTTAAGTGCAAGACATACAGTGCAACATGGTTGGTATTAGACATTTTAAAAATCACTGCTGCCAACAGACATGTCAAAAATGTTAACTTTTGTTAAAACACTAAAACAGTTTCAAAAAGGACTTCTGTCAAGGTTTTGAAGAGCTAAAATGCCCCAAAATAGTGAGCTAGAGAGCTAAAATGCCCAACAAAATACCAAGAAGTATCAAAGTGCAATAACTTTGTCAGAAAGGTAAACAAGTGAAACCAGAACAAAGCACTGTATTTCGAGCCTTTCAAAAGGGGACTCCATCAACAGTTGTATGTAACAATTTATAGTGTATTTTTTAAATCACTCCAACCTCTAATGCTTCCACACGCCAGTTTGGTGACCACTGCTGCAACAAAAAAAAGCTTGTAGCTGAACTTTGAAAGTAATTCTCCAACTATTTTTCCTTACTAGCCAAGTATTTGACTTTACTTGGTTCAGACACTTATGTGCACATATTCATACTACAAGTTTGTTGTGCAAAGACCAGATTTTAGGAGACATCTTCAGAACATCAAGTACAAGAAAGACCTTCTGAAACACCTCAAATGAGTATTTCAACTTTGATGGGTAGCTCAAGTTCATTGCATAAATAAAGTCCATGAGCAGAAGGCAAGCCTTTGCCACACTTTTACAGTCAGCAAGAACCTCTTTTCCCTCAATGATGATCGACACATGAACAGGGCTGTGATCTTCCTGTGCTTCATTTCCACGGATGACGAAAATGTTCAAGACTTGATGAGCACAGTCCTCTTGGATGGTTTCTTTGTTGACGTCCTTCCAAAAACATACAAGTCAGTGCTCAAGGTTTAAAGTAGGTTGAAATGAAGAATGAAGATACCTTTAAAACATAAGACCGTTTTGAATAACATAAAATCTGACATATCTTAGGTACTAGATACTGTAAGATATTTTAAAAAACACAATTCGATGTGATGTCCACTGATTAATTGTTAATTTAAGCCTATTTCTGTTGGAATCTGTGCATGTTGAAATTTTGATGCGTGATACCTAGGATAGATACATAAAAATATGCAGTATTTGCCATTAACATAAATTATTTATATTAGAATTGAAAACGGGCCAGCGCACGCCAGAATTACAGCACAGTACTTGAGTTTAAGCTAAGCACCATACCACCTCTCATAACACTAGCCCGACTTAGAAGACTCATGCAAAGAACATACCATCTATGCAAAACAGTCGAGCCACTGCAGATAACTATCAGCCAGGAACACTCACGTTGACAAGTAATCTAAATAAGCTGCCTGAACAAGTGAGGCGGGTTAGCAAAAATTAGCGGCGAAAAATTAGCGTTGTGGCACAGAGCAGCAAGTGTCAGAATAACTTGCTAGCAGGCCAACGTTAAGTACTAAGTAATCAAACACGGACTTTTGACGACGAGACTACAGGAATGTATAAAGTTAATTAAGCATTCAGCTTACCTCTGTCGCTTCTCATTTGTGGATTTTTTCATCAAGGTTTCTTTAGATGCGTCTCTGCTAAGAAACCGCGCTAACCTGACGTCACTTATTGAGTGCTACAAGGTTGTCAGATTCACTTCCATTACCCAAGTAAAATGTACTTTTTCGTGTCAGGTCGTGCAGTGCTATAGTTAATATTACTTGATGTGAGGGTGATATTATAAAGTAAAAGCACCTAAATGAAAATTTACTGTAGAATTTAAACAAATAATTTTGGTAATTACAGGGTGAAGAAGTCATTTTTTCAGTGTACTAGGTAACAGTATGAAAAAGCTAAGAGTTATTCGCAAATTTAATTTTACAAATTTACACGTAAACTGACACACTTATATCACTTTATTTCGCTTTGACCAACATAAAAAAAATCGGGTAGGCCTACTTATACTCGAACACCATAGGGTGGCGATACAGCATCACAAATTAAGTGCCATGGCGTTCATTAGGCTAATTAATTTGGCTAATTAGGATGCTAGTAACTGCAATTGTCTGATTTCATTACAATTAACATTACCACTGTTGCAGTTGCAATGCAAACACAACACATTCACACTTGCAATGGTTGTAAATGTAGGCTAAACATTATCTACATTATCTACAACGTAACCTAGTGTTACTCACTCGTGTGGTGTAACTTCGCGATTAACCCGTACTACGAAAGGTGGGTATATTTGGTCGAGACATGTTGCTATGGCAATTTACGCTAAATCTCAAAACTGCTCCGAGCAGTTTTTGTTCTCGGTTAAGTCGAGCTTTCCGCGTAGCCAGTCCTATATGAGCACCGCCCCTCCCACTACAATTTCTGAGGAGGACAATACAGGTGTTCTGTCATAAAATACCACCTATCGAGACGTGCTTTCGAGCCTTTCTGCGCATGTGCAGTTCCACATGATTTGGCACAGATCACAAAATGTTTTGAAGCGGAAAAATAATCGGTGTGAATCGATGTCTGTGTACTGGACATCACAATTTTGTCATTAAAAACGCCCACCTTACTTCCGTAAATATATTAAAGCCAGAAAACTGAATATGGAATATGAGGCTAACTTAACCGCGGTGACAGGTTCCTAGTCGTTTTCTCACTACACATATGCTTCTGTTTTGTCCTGTTGTAAATCATTTAATTGTTTGTTAAACAGTGGCTCACCTTCTATTAAGTGTCATCTGAACAGACACCCTTTTATTATTAGCTGTAAAACATAGAAACACGCTATTAAGTGGAGGCTAGACACAACACATCTTTCATAATGAGTAGAAATATAAATACACAGCCCTACCACTTGACATGATGTTTTTATATTTCATCTTGACTTACGATTTCGTACGCTTTCCACTACTATTGCATTTGAAATCGGATCAGTTATTGTTAACATTAGGTTTACATTATGAGTAACATTACAGTAATTGAACTTCAGGGAGCATTACATTACCTAGCAGCATATAATAGGTGACTTCTGAATTGTGTCGCATCTGTTAGCCTCTGTAAATTATTAACAGTATTTTAAGTCTTTTCAGAAAACACTTCATTGTCTAAAACTCGGTTGTGAGGTATTTTAGACCTCGTTTTATGATCAAATTCCATATGTTTCGTTAGTTTTTCATACTGCGTAGGAACCATGTAAGGAAGTCTGTGAGATCCCAAACGATTGGGAGTGGGTGTGTCCACTCTACAAGGTTCTTTGACATAGGCCTTGACTCGTTCGACAATGCTCTCTAAGGGAATAAATGAAGGCATCTTAACATCCCCCAGAGCAACAGTGACCCCCGCTTCACACTGTAATTGCGTAACCATTGCATCAATAGGAAGTTCCCTCCACTCATTTTGTAATTTAACCATTTTGTTTATGATCTCAATGATATTGTTTGTTGGGCTGTTGTGTTTCAATGCTTCAAATTACTTTGTGCGGAAGGAGACCATGATGTTGCATTTGCTGGTGGAAGTATTTGAGAAATTCCTCTGACCACCCATTCACAAACTTGGAACATTGTGCCTCAAATTCATCTCTGCTGGCTGAATCAATGAGTTTGTCGATTTGGTCTTTCAGTACCTTCACATTGTCCTTCGTACCCCCATGTTTTTTGACCCAGTACTCAATGTCATACAACACAGGATTCCTGCAGAAAACTAGGCTAATGTTGGGAAACCTCCAGTTCAAGGCCGCAACAATTCCCTTTTCTCTGAACATGATGCTTCATGAATTTGTGCTAATGCAGCATGAACCCAACAGGAAATACAGGGTCATTAACTAGAGAAGTGTTTCTCATAGCGAGTACAGAAACCTGAAAGTCACCCATCTGAGAGGTTGTGTCATGCCTAAGAGTTTGAGGGTAGCTGAAAGTAATAGCATCTTCCAAGTTGGTGCGTGCCAAACCCAGTTCATTGGGCATCCCAGCAAAAACTAGAAAATTGGAAAAACTAGAAATCTACAAGACAAAACGTGGAAGCTAGTACGCCAGTTCATGGAGAATGAACATTTCATCTTGAGAAATTCTTTGTGTATTACTGCTAGCATATACTGTGTTCTGTACTTGTTCACAATTGTGTGGGCAATTCACAGGCATGTGTTCCACATTGTTACTGCAGGCTTTAGATAAGATGTTAGATGGAGCTTGCCCATGGTCATTGTGAAGGATGTGTGTAAAAACCTATTTTTTATAAGGAATGAAAATTCTTTGTTTTTGCATTGCCATGCTTCCTTGGCACATACAGTCTCATCCCCCAGGTAGTCAATAAAATATAAATTTGTTACCAAATTTTCTTAATTGTCTTGCTGTACTAGGTAGTACACATTCTTTTTAAAATCTGATGATCCCTTGTCTAACTAAGGTGTCCTAATATAGTAATACTGTACCTCTTAATCACTCTTCCACCGTATTTTTCAATGTTGTTATAATTTGACCAGTTATATAATATAATTATATAGTTTGACCAATAAAAGTCCATGAAAGCCCATCTTCCTCCCTTCAAGCTCCTATATAGATACACATCACCCCCCTTGGGCTTCAGGGGAGGTTCATTGGAAATCAAACCTTTGTACTTTTAGGGATGAACAAGAATGGCTTCTATTTCAGCCAGTGTAAACTCTGACTCTTGTTGCATGAAAGACATAATTTCTCTCTCAGTAGAAAGTTTAATAATGGAATGAATTTTAATTTAATGAGAGTACATAAGACCAATGTTGCATTGCCACAACGGTAAAATTGTAGAATTTAATAAATGGATACGATCCATTTATTCCCGAAATAAACCCCGTGTTCACCTGATTTCATCAGCTCCTGTGCTGCTTCCCTGCTGAAGTCGTGACATCAAGTAAGAAATCTTCACAAAACTTAACTTACATACAGTATCTGAAATCTTGGGGAAATCTCAACCGTTCAATGCCGCTAAGGACATTTATTTTTCACGTGAAACATAATGATCTCTGGTTAAATGTGGTTAAGCTAAATATGTTATTATTGTTATTGGTTTTCGTTTAGGAAATAAAAAACGTTGTTGTGTATTTTAATAACCAGACTCGTGTATTTCAGATTGGCACGCCAAATAACTACGGTTTTGTAAACCAATGGTAAAACGATACTTTCTGTTGATATGTAACAAATATTAGAGGAGCGTAAAATCCAAGTGAAAGACTGTCTTGTCCAGCAGGCGGCAGCATATGATTTCTGTAATTTAACACACCCACAATCTTACGTGTTACGTGAAATATATTGCATTGTATGTAGTACATTTTTTTCTGATTTTTTTTTCTGGTCAGTTTAATAGCCGTTTGGATTACCGGTGATGACAGACTAAGTACTTTTCTTTAATTAGGTTTTGAATGGTAGGAGGAATTCCGGAGCGTGAATGCTCGTTTCACCCAAGTAAAGCTTCTAACGTGATCAACTAGATTTATTTTATGACGAAGGCCAATACCGTAAATACCCTATTGATCGTGTAACTCAGTTTAGCGATCGGAGGGTCAAGCCGCCCCCTTTAAAGCCGGTGCCCATCACCTGAACTACTGCAACTGCTGTGGTAAACGACAAACAGTGTATCATACACTTTCCTGTAACTTATTTTCCGGTCTCACTTTCAGTGGGGGTGGGGTTGGGGTGGTCGCGTAACATTGCCGGCGAACCCCCCACCCCCGGCACTGAATTTTTGGTTTGCCCCAGAGTTTCGGCACAGTCCGTCGATCGTTAAATGAAGATGGCGGAATCGCCGGAGATGTGGTCGGGACGGCTTTAAACTCCGATAACAAGAAACAAAAATATAAAAATATACTGGACCGTTTGGGCAAGTCAGTTGATGTAGACGTTCGAGGGTGAGTGATTTTCCGTCTGAATGTCTGGTCATTTCAGTTACGGTTAACTGGTGTGCAACATTGCTATCAATAGCTAGCGAGCTAACAGCACAATTGGCCGCACCTCGGCTTGTTTGTCATTGAATTGATTTTTGTCTCTTTTTCAGTTTGGGGGAAAAAGCTTTTTTAATACAGCACTGAAGGGAGCTAAGGTGTGGTGGACTAGCTAACCGACTAGCAACTAGGGCATGATGCATCGGGGTCTTGTTTTCCAGTATGAAAATCGTATGGCGGATCACGTCTGGTTTTTCATCATTGAGGGAATCAGAAAAACATTCGCGTTTGCTGCGTTTATTACAGATGGAGCGGCCTGGCGGTCATACTGCATTTCCCACGAATGTATCTTCCTATCTTTCGTTAACTCATTGTTTCGCCGGGTGATCGCTCTGCAGTTGTTGACTGGTTAGTAACAGGACTGTGATTTGCCTGCTCCGCCACCTATACCTGCTTTTCACAAAAGATTTAGACCTGATGTAGGGTTGTTAAAAGTGGGAAAATGTGGGTAAGTTGGAAAGGGAGCATAGATACTGACATTTCTGAGGGGTCTGTCTTTCTGCACGGCTGTAGTAACCAGTTGCAATTCTGTGGAACTTTAACGCCACGTAAATGTCGCTTTTAAGGTCTGACAGCCTGAGTTGTGATTGTCTTTTTTTCGGAGGTTGGCTGCCGATTTTCACGTACGATTATCTACGATTATCAGCTTACCGTTTAACGGCATCTTGTATAAGAGAAGTTGAATATACTTTTTTCTCCGGTGAAACGTATGCGTCGCGGTTCGCATTTGCAAAAAAAAAAACCAAAAACGTCCATTTACGGCCTGATCCTTTAACCCCCAATGGCTCCCCGCAAAAAACACCCAGTGATTGAATACCAAACATAAAGTCAGTATCGACGACCTTGCTATAAAACAGTGCTGTATGTTTGTCATGAACTCGGCTATGTAACACCGTCCATGTTTTTTAAACACCGTTTGATCGCCGTAAATTTACGATGCAACTGCAGACGAATAAATACAGCCGGGTGGTTATCAGGATTTGTCAGTGTTTTAGAGCACGCAGTCTACAGTTCACATTACCGTTTGGCTATCTGCATTCAGTTACCTCTGTACCACCTTGAACTGGTTATGTTTGTATCAAGCACTGCTGAAGAAACATCAGGAGATTGTGTCTAGTTGCCAGTATGAAATTTTGGCCTTAAGGGACCAAAATGGTAGTTGACGTGTGTTTGGGACTTGATCTCCAAACACTTCCACCCTGAGTTTGTACCTGTCGGTTGGAAATGTGTTCTGTTTGAACGCGTCTGCGAAGTGACTCAGCTAAATCCTCCAGCTTGAGAGGAAAGTTGAGCCTCTGGCAGGCTGTGCGCTAACAAAGATTTCAATTTGGAGAGTATATTCATATCATAATTAATGTTAATTGCTATTTAGCGATGCCTGTAATAACTGCTTAATAATTATGCCTAAAGCCTGGGGAGTAGTGCTCCTGAGGAGGGTGGTAATCTGCATCTTTGAATGAGGAATTGCTTTGCTTTAGCTTGAGTGTGAGGAAGCTACTTTCTTACCCCCAGAGCACTTAAAGCATCCTGAAGTATTGCCATTTGTTTTTGTCTGTTCTTTTGTCAATATGGAGAATTGATTGATAGATGCTTTATTGTCATTGATTGAATATTGGATATTAGCAATAGATGTTAGGTCATTAGTATTGTCACAAATAGTTTAGTCTCGGGTCCTTGTTTCTGATACATCAACAAACAACCTGTATGTCTGGAAGTAATGTGGAGAAATATGACCCACAGTGTTTCTGGCACCTCAGTTGCCGGAGTTGAGGGTTTATGGCAAGGGAGTGTTAGATTGGAGTAGGGCTGTCACTATCAGTTATACAGACACTCCTCTACTTACAAATGAGATACATTCCGAACGGCTGTTCGTAACTTGAAATGTTAGTAAGTCGTTACTCAGCATCATTTTAAAAGTATACGCAAATACAAATAACTAGGATGCTGGGAGTACGCACGCTATGCTGCTGCACGGTGGGCGTAGTGGCCAGAAGTCGTACTAGGCGGAATTGGCACGCAGAAAAAAAAATTGATGTTGCAGACAGGAAACGAGAGCCCAACGAACACAAGTTGGACTTAGTCCTCTTTGTTTGTATGTCTGAACGTTTGTAAATTGAAAGTTCGTAAGTAGAGGAGCATCTGTATTAGTAATCATAATCTGCTGATTAATCTGGTGATCGAGTCATTGTTTATTAGTACTGGGCGATAAAACGATCTCGATTTTTTTTTTATCGATAAAAAAATGAAGACGATCACGATGATACACACAGACTATAAAACTCGATCAACCAAGTTTGCTCCGTTTTAGAGAATGCGCTGAGACAGACAACTCGATGGCCTATCGATCAGAGGTTTACTGAACACCAGCACAACAGCCAATCACAGACGACGTTGTAATTTTGCCCATCATCCCTTGAAGCAATGGGTGTGTTTGACTTGGGCTTAGGTCTGTCTGCAGCTGACGCGACATGGATCTGGCTGCGGCTGCAGGGGTGGAGTATAAACTGACTGCAGCCAAGTCGGACAACTTCTACTCCTCGTAGTCTGCGACACCTGACTGCAATGGCAGCACTGCCAGAAGGGTGTAGATAAATCTATACAAATATCACCTGCATGCACATTACTTTTTACAATAACCAACTCCTGATACAAACTGTTAGCAGTGAATAAAACTATTGTGTATAGTGGCTCTGTGTAAAAAGATAGCTGCCAGGAAAAAGATCAAATGCATGTATTTCAAGGATTCAAAGTTTTTGTCATATACAGAGTACAATGCAATCCTTACTTGAATGCCTTCTTCACAGACTGGACGATTAAACTAACAATAAAATAAACCACTAACTTACGTGTACTGTTAGAGCATTTATGTAACTTATTTAAACTTTATTTTACCGGGTAAATGAACTGAAAACCAGTTCTCACTGCTTTATGTGCTTTTCGGGAGAAATAGCAGATAACACATTGGAACTTCCTGGGATACAAATGTCATGCGTGTGACTAAAATCTTCAACCAATAAGGGCAAAGTTGTGTCGTCATGGAGGCGGTTCCAGTTTGTGCTGCATGGTCTGTCTCAAGTTGTCTTGCTCTCGTGAGGATTTTGTACCATGTGACATGGTGATGCGTGGTGACAATTTGCAGCGCCAGACAAAAAAGTCTAACCATGATTTGGCATTTTTTTGAATAAGTGTTTTTTGCTTGGTTTAGATACTTTTCTACCTCAGAATTTTAAAAAGTTTTTAAGAGACCAAGAATAGAGGAAGATACTTGTTGCAGTCAGTTCTGTCCTGCTTTATTTTATGTTTGCCCTTTAACATATTTGCAATATTATACAGTTTTGCACATTGTTACATTAGTATATGGTTTTGTTCATTTGAGCTATGTTTCTTTGAATACTTGAAAATCAATAACCTTTTATAATTTTAAGGGAATTTTGTATGTAAACAGTAAAAATTTGTTGGAAAATTAGTATTTGTTTACTAATATTGTTTATTTCAATGTATTCATTCTACTTGTCAGAATACGGTTATTTTTTATTATTTTGATTATTCCATTATTACATGGAACAGCATTGTGAAACTATAATATTAATAATGGCTACACAGGGTTCCAGGCTGCGACCATTTAGACTCATTTTGTGACTGTTTTTGGAGACAGTGTGACTAAATTTTATAACTAGGCGCACCAGTGCAATTTACAAATATGTCGCTCATTTATGCCCGAATATGCCCCTCACATAGTGGCTGACCACATCGTTGTATGTCATGTGAAACACCTGGGGGGTATTCCATGAAAGTAGCTAAATAAAGCCAGACTTACGTGAAAAAGTGAGACTCAAATTAGCTCCATCTCTAAACTTAGCCTCATGTCGTTCCACGAACGCAGTTCAGCTTTAACTAATCGAGGCTTATTCAAGGCAGACTTGCATAGTCTCACTTAGTGCGCACACCCGCGATGTTTAAGAAGCCCAAATGAATGGATGAATGATAGATCGACCAAATGAGTCGGAAAGTGTTTAAAACGAGATCGGTGTTTCTTTCTGCCGCAAAACAAACGCTGCTGATGGAGCTGTATGAAAAACACAAAGATGTAATCGTTAAAAAAGGCAATACTGTGGCCATAAACACAGCCAGAGAGTTGGCTTGGCAATGCATTACAGACAGATTAAATGCACAAGTTACGTAAATGTTGCAAGTGCTTGGCACGGTGGTACAGTGGTTTATGCTGTCGCCTTATAACGCGAAAGTTGCTGGTTCGATTCCCATAGCCAACTGGGAACCAGCTTGTTATTGTATAATATTATTTGATCTCCGTAAAATACTTTGTCACATCCGTGTGAAATGTTCTGCACAAATAACCGTATCTTGTCTTTGCTTTTCACTTACAAACTTTCAAAGTAGACTGTGACTAAACAAAATATAAAAATATCTTCCTGTTCATATTATTTTAACAGATTTCCTTTCAATTTCGGTCATTGCATTTCATGTTTGACCTTTGTAAAAGTGTACGCTTTCATTTTACAGTAAAATACAGTTATAACGGACTTCAAGGGACCTGCCAAAACAGTCCGTTATATCCAGAGTTGCTGTATGCCCAGGACACAACTACATGACACCATTTACTCATGCCACACCCCAGCAGACACACTTGTGGTATAGATTATTATATTGTACGTGTAGTAATCCAACTTTACCTAACCAGATACGTGACTATTAATAATCCCGACTACGTACGTATCTGCGCTGGATATCACCGGCACGCCACACGCCTTGTAGGCGGAACTGCATGTCCGTTATAGCCGAACAGAACCACATCTAAAAGTGGCCCTGGAGACAAAATTGTTTGTCCATTATAAGCGAAATTCCGTTATATGCGAGTCCGCTATATCCAATGCTTTTTCTGCATGTTC